ATCACAGGTTTTCCTGGCAAGATTTTCCAGAAGGGGTTAACCCTTGTTATTCTCCTTGAGTGAGAGACTGTGACTTATCCAAGATCACCCAATGAGTTTCCATGAACAAGTGAGGATTCAAATCCTGGTCTGCAGTCTCCAATGCTCAAACCATTACACCATGTTCTCTGCCTAAACATCAGCCATGGAATAGAACTATGGAATGGTCCCTCAGAGTAGATTCTATTTCTTTGAGGTTGTTTGGGAGCACTTTAGTTAAGTATTCCTATATGGCAGGGGGTTGGACTAGATAGCCCTTGTGGTATCTTTCAGTTCTATGATTTTATGAAGTTAGACAACGGTTGTGTGTCAACAAGCTGAGTCTGAAGAAAATAAAACATACTTTAAAGAAATGATAAAACAGTGATGAAAATAGGAATCTTCCATTCTTTTGTTTAACTCATATGGCCCAAGTCTATGAATTCCCCAGAATCTTTTGTTCTCTGCTTTGTAATTTGATCCCTGCTGGTTCCTTTCCACTTTATGAGATAAGGGAGATGTTATGCTCAAACCCATGTAGAAACGCGCGCTCTTTTCTGTATCTTTTTTTCCTGGGGTCTCTTCAGTTTGTTAATCAAAGCAAGTTTCTGTTATGTATCTCTCACCCGCAGAGGGACGAAACTATCCAGTGAAAATTAAAGTCCTCTTATCTGTTAATGTGTCATCACAATTAATAGCCTGGGGAATGGAAAACACACTTAAATTTCGGAACAATTTGCCTGGCTGATTGTGTGCGATTGTGGATTTAAGCATACAAAACTGGTAGCTGATAGTCAAGCAAGACTGAACAGGGGCGGGCCAGATTCTGATTTTGCCTCCTTACTGTTTGGCTCTGCTCAGATGAAGGAGAGGTTATCCTTGGTTTACACCAGCAGCAGATACAGCTTTTAGGAAACCATTACAAGGAAGGATTGTATTGCTTTGCTAAACATCAGATAGTGTTTGCCAGTACAACATAGAGTCTAATCCAACATGGAGTTAAGCAAGCTTCTTGGATGTGATAATTATTTCTGGCATCATCAAAGCTGGGAGATTTGGTCAGAACTCACTTGGAATATTCAAGAAGAATAGCTTTCTTCTTTGCATACATTGCATCTGCAGATTCATGTCCAGCTGAGCTGTTCAGAGTGGTGAAAGGTTTAACTCAGGTAATTTCCCCTTCAAACCAATTGCTAGAACCTTTAGTAGCTCACTGTGATGCTTTTAACAAGCATTTTGCACATAAAACCTCTTGCATAAGAGCCGACTTAGATGCTGTCATTGGAGCAGAGGCCAGCAATGGGATGTCCAAATGTGGGTGGGGTTACATTGGATCCATTTCAACTGGTGAGTGTGTACTGTTGATGTGGACAAGCTACTGCAGCTAGGAAGGAAGACAATTTGCTCTCTTGATCCTTGTCCATCTTGACTGGTTGTCCAAGGAAGATAAGTAATTCAATCTCAAATACAAAAAAAATATTAATGCATCTCTCAGGGGAGGGATGGGACACTTTCCATCTTGTTTAAAAGAAACAGTAGATAGTTGTTGTTCATTCGTTCAGTCACTTCCGACTCTTTGTGACCTCATGGACCAGCCCACACCAGAGTTCCCTGTCAGCCATGGCCACCCCCAGCTCCCCAGCAGCAGATAGACCACTACTGAAAAAAGTCCTCCTTGGATCCACTGGGCCTTAATAATAAAAATGTACCTCTTTTGACTTGCATACAAATTAATATTAAGTACAAATCTACAGAACCTATCTTGTCCATAACTTGGGGACTGCCTATATATGAAATTACATTCAGGCTATGTATATAAGGCGTGTATAAATAATAAATGAATTTCATGCTCAGAATAATAAGAGTTGGAAAAGACTTCCAAGGGTCATCCAGTCCAACCCCTTTCTGCCAGGTGGAAACACAACAGTCTCTTTTTGTGCAAGGTGACTGAGAAGACAGTTGCCCCTGCCCCCAACTCCAGACAGTCTTAAACAACACATACTTCCTTGACCCATTTCAAACTGGCTTCAAAGCAGCAGAATATGGAGCTGAGTGCTATGGTCACCTTATTGGATGATTTCTGTCTTAACACTGACAAGGGATGTGGGTCCCTGTTGGTGCTTCTAGACCTCTCAGTGGCTTTCAATGCCATCAACCATAGTATCCTTCTGGGACACCTGGAAGGGCTGGGAATCAGAGGCACTGTGCTGTAGTGGTTCCAGTCATACCTCTCAGGCAAGTCCAGATGGTGGTGCTTGGGGATAGCTGCTACTCAAAAAAGGGGCTGTTATTTGGCATCCCACAAGGTGCCATTCTATCCTCATTGCTTTTTTAATATTCACATGAAATCTCTAGGAGAGGGATCATCTGGAGGCATGGAGCGGGGTGTTATCAGTATCAAATATATTTATCTGTGACTTCAAAACAGCCTCAACTAAGAATAGCATGTCTCCTCTGAATGAATGCCTGGAGAATGTAATAGGATGGATAAGGAAAAACACATCGAAACTGAATCCACACAAAACAGAGGTGCATGCCATCAAGGGTCCTAATCTGGGGGTGGAGATGTGTCAGCCAATACACTCCTCCTGGGAGACTTTGTTTGCAGTTTGGAAGTGCTCCTGGACCCAACTCTCCAAAGGTCAGCCACAGGTAGATGTGACAATCAGGAGTGCTTACTACCAGCTTCGGCTGATCTATCTAGATTTGGAGGCCCTAACAATGGTATTGCTCACATTGGTAACCTCAAGGTTGAACCTCTGCAATGCACTTTACCTTTGTCCTAAGTTCAGAAACTCAAGTTGGTTCAAAATATGGCAGCCAAATTGGTTACAAGGACATCCAGGGGTGAGCATATTACACCTTTCCTAAAGTCACTCCACTGACTGTCAATTAATTTCTGGGTAAAATACAAGGTATTGATTTTAACCTTTAAAGACTTCCATGATTTGGGTCCAGATTACCTACAGGATTGCTTTCTCCTGTACAATCCGCCCCCACATTGAGGCCCTCTGGGGGGCGGCTACTCCAGCCTGTAAGAACTCAACTGGTAATCATCACCCAGAGGTCCTTTTCACCAGCTGGTCCACAATTGTGGAAATGACCTGCTGAAAGAGCTAATTGAGCTGTCGGAATTTAAAAACCTTATAAAGACCTATCTCTTCCAGCAGTCCTACCAAGTCAATTTTCATAAATGTATTTTAAAGTCGTGCCCTGGGTTTTAACCTCTGTTCTGTGTATTTTAATATGTATTTTATAGAAATATGTTTTAAGAGTGTTTCAACTTAAAAGTGGTTTGAGTTAAGAGCCATCTCTTGGCCTGGGTTTCACTTTGCCATACAAGCAGCATTTTGATCTAAGTGCTAGCACCAGAGTACAGGGCTTTAGGGCTTCAAGGGAGCCGCCTCTCTGCCTTGTGCCTCACTCTCTTGTCTGCTTTGGGAGATTGCTGTCTATTTTGCTCTTGTCTGCTTTAAGGAACTTTGGATTAGTTCATTTTGTGTGGTTTTTTGTTAGTGGTATGTTTGGCTTCATGAATAGAGAGAGGGAGAGACTGCAAGAGAGGGAGGGAGGCTGGAATGAAGAAAATGATGCTTCTGCCTCTTCACTTTGTGCTTCTACCATTGTGCTACAATTTGTGTTTCTACAACTTTAAAGTTGATTGTTTTTTATTGTTCCATGTGAAAGTGCATGTACTCGTATACATTGTTATTTATCAAGTACATTTTTGTATTTAAAAACATGTAACAAAAATTTGGGCTAGTTAGATGTTTTCTAACTAACTCCCTATCAATCTTGATTTGTGATTTTGATTCTTTGTCAAGGTTTCTGCTACTGCAATCAAGCATACAATTTTCCTTGGGGAGAAAACTGAAGCAAGAGAAGTATTGAGTAGGTCTATCATTTAATTGTGATCTTTTAGCATTTTACCATTCATATTGAAGAGTGGTCAGGCTGCTCATTTGGAGTTTTGGCTTTCTTTAGGATATTCCTGTAAACTTGGTCTAAACACCAGAAGAAACTTTGAATTCCAATATTAATATACCTCAGCTAATAAAGTAGATGTATTCCTCTACTTAATTAACAGAAAATTTGGTAACAGAGGCAAAATTAGATTGAAATAATAGAAATTGTTTTCACACAAAGGCAAGAAAAGTAGTTCAACATGTTTCAGCAGTGGTTTTTTTTTGTTCAGAACTAACCATAAGGAAACAACCAAGTCAGGTCAGTCTTGCATAAGTAAACAAAAACATTGTTAACCTTCTAGAGAGCATGACTCCAGGGATAACTTTTTGTTTCACAATTCTCCACAGTTTTATTATTTCTGTGTTTATGGACTTATAAATGTAAATTGCCCCCCCCCCCCCCATTCAAACATGCTGGAAGTAGTGAGGCTAATAACCTTCCTTTTCTCTATTTTGCTGTCCCCACATTACAATGAATTGCTAAACCAAATGTTCATACACAGTCATGTTTCAGGCACATTTTTGCACAATAATACTGCTAGTACAACCCAACTCTTGCAATTTTGAACTAAATACAAACATTCCACATCAAATAAAAATGTCCAATTTCTGTAGGTGAATCTATGTAACATAAGACAAAGGATTCTGGTAGCTGTTAAGAACATGTGACAAATTTGTTCTATTCAGTCTTTCTCCTCTTTCCATCACCAGTTTACACAATTTCAATTTCCCTTAACTACCTCAGAATTCCAATACAATTCGAGGTAAGGAAACCCAAATATTTATGGGCTTAGAGTGCAGTCTGGGAAACAAACAAAAAGGTGCACCAAAAGGTATGCATATTTTAAAACTGCAATTTAAAATAATCAAATGTCTCTTTCATACACATACACTTTATTCAGTGGTTTCATGCTCTCAGATGTGTGCATTTGAAAGAAATGTAACCCAAATATGTGTGTTTAGGAAAATGTAAGTAAAATATGCAGAGATATATGTGTTCTTAGAAAAGACACTCACAGAAATGAAGCAGGATGAGCTTGGTGGGTGAAAAGAAGAATATGAGATTGGACTTGATAGAGCCACCAATCTGTAGCCAGTATCACGTATTTCATTCACATGTCTATTCTGTCCCATTTCTGCATTGACCTGCAATTTTATAAAGAAAGTTTTCATGGTTCAAATCTCAGTTCATGAAGGAATTTTGGGTACCTCAACTAGGGATATGGAGTTCATCGGTTCCACCAGAAGTTGACCCTAAAGTTACACTGGAGTCATATTTCTAGAGAGATCATATTAATCAAATCCATGAAAAATCAAACCCACAAAAGTTAAACCCATAAATGTGGATGACTGACTGTATACGGATTTTTTTCTAATCATTGTCACTTTATATCTACATCTGTGTATGTATTTTGTGACTGGAGAACTCGATTGTGAAGTGCTAATTTTGAATGATAACTGAATCCCATCCTGAAATTGTGCCATCGGGTACATTTCAGGTTAAAGTGTGAAACAAATGCAATTCTCCCTCATCTGTATTCAGCGATCTCTCCCAGAAGCTTTTACAGAACAATACCAGCAGCTATTTTATTTCTCCTAACACTTTTTGAATGGTGTTTCATTCTCTTCAAGCTCCTTAAAACCAACCCCCAGTAATAGTTAAGTGAACAGGTCCATGTCAATCTGAGTCCACCGGAGATCAACATGTACAACCAAAACTGGTCAGGAAGGATGCAATTAAATGAAAATGTAATGGGGTCAATTAAAGTCTGGCTCCAAAATGGCACTATAGAGTAATCTACAGGAGTAAAATGGGACAAGAGAGACACATTCCATCTCAGCATCAAGGTTACAAACCCATTGTCACATCCTTCAGCAAACTGTTGGTTATGAGAGAGGAAAGCTCTGTTGCCCACAAGATGTAGGATGAGATTAAAAGCTATCAGGAGAAGTATGGGAGGGTTAACTGGAAATGAAGGAATTTTCTCTTGGGTCAAAGGTTCTCAGATTCATCATGATGAACTTCTAATGGTTTGCCTCCTTTCAAGGGTTGGAAAAGAAAGAAATTGGGTACATGTTTACCTATAAAAATGCATCCTCATCCAGTATTTGTTGATTCTGATGCCTTCTCACTCTCTGTTCTGATGCTCTTGGAGCTCTGCTCTAGATCTTCTAACTACTGTTCCTATGATCAAAGAATTGTATAGTTGGGAGAGCCCACAAGAGTTAATCAGTCCAAACCCCTGCCAGGTTATCAAAGCACTCCTGACCCATGGCTACCCAGCCTCTGTTTATTTATTTCTATCCCGCCTTTCTCAGCATGAAGGCAACTCAAGGCAGCTTACAAATTGGCAGCAATTCAATGTCATAATAGTCATAAAAACAAGTAAAAACATTACGAACAACATTATAAAAATCCACACAAAACCATTAAAAACATATATCACCAATGTCTTCCTGTTAATCACATTTGCCAGTAGCATCGCCTAAGCCATTCCATGTTTCAGTCTTACATAATTCAGTGCTTGTCTATTGCACTGCATTTTCAAAGACCTGTTCAAAGAGCCAGGTTTTTACTTTTTTCTGGAAGGTCAGGAGGGAGGGGGCTGATCTAATATCCCTGGGGAGGGAGTTCCACAACTGAGGGGCCATCACTGAGAAGGCCTTGTCTCTCATCCCTGCCAGACACGCCAGCGAAGAAGATGAGATCAAAAGCAGGGCCTCCCCAGATGATCTTAAATTCCTTGCTGGTTCATAAGGAGAGATACAGTCAGACAGCTAAGCTGGGCCGGAACCACTTAGGGCCTTATAGGATAAAGCCAGCACTTTGAATTGTGCCCAGTAGCAAACCGCCGCCTCTTCACTTTGTGGAGCTGGCGCAAAAGAAGAGTTGTATGCTCCCTGAGTGCTGCTCCCATTAGTAACCTGGCTGCCACCTGCTGGACCATTTCGAGCTTTCAAACAGTCTTCAAAGGTAACCTCACGTAGAGCGCATTGTAGTCTATATGGGATGTAACCAGAGCGGGGACTACCATGGCCAAGTCAGACTTCCCAAGGTACGGGTGCAGTTTAAAGATAGAGAATTCACTCTGAGGTGCGCTCTTACTATCACGGAGTATAGTTCTTTGTTCCACCCTGGTAATTCCACAGATATATAAACCCATTTTCCTAGTTCCAACAGACCTCGCTACCTCTGAGGATGTTTGCCAGAAATGCAGGCGAAACATCAGGAAAGAATGCCTCTAGAACATGGCCATATAGCCTGAAAAAATCTACAACAACCCTATCACGGAGTTATTCCTAATATTTTGGTGGAAACTCTTTTCTTATAGTTTGAATCCTTTTCACTGTTTCCTAGTCTCTGGAACAGCAGAAAACAAGTTTGCTCCATCCTCAATATGACATCAAATATTTAAACATGGCTATCATGTCCATTCTTAACCTTTTCTTCAGACTAACATACCCTAAGCTGCTCCTCAAAAAGGTCCAAGGTTTCTAAACCTTGGACCATTTTGGTTACCTGTCTCTATGCATGTTCTAGCTTGTCAATATTCTTCTTGTATATTCCAAGTGAGATCTGACCAAAATAAACTAGAGTGGTACTTTTGCTTCCCTGATTTTAGACACTACACTTCTATTGATGCAACCTAGAATTACATTGGCTTTTTAAGATGTCACATCACACTGTTGACCCATGAGAGAGTATGACTTGTCCAAGATTATGTAGTGGGTTTCAAGGCCAAGTGAAGATTTGGACCTTGGTCTCCAAAACTGTAGTTCAATACTCAAATCACTACACCATGCTGGTGAATGCCCTGATGCCCTTGCACATGAAAACAAAATGTACTTTCTCCTGGGTCAGATTGCAAGACCCACCCACCCCCCACCTTTTTGGGTATTATTCCTTTTTGTGTGAAAATTCCACATTTTTGCTCTAAATTTTCTGTATTGTGAAATATAACTGGTTTTATGCCAAGCATCATATTGTATGAAGAATATAAAGAGATATTTCTTATGCAGAAATGTCTGTTGAGGCGAATATTCTACAACATCAGGCTGCTTTAGCATTCAAATAAAAGTCCTTTTCACAGAAAGTATCAATAAAACTGAGTGGGTTTCATAGATATGCATCTTAAATATATAGAATCTAAATTATTTGCTGTTGTGAAGAATATTTTCCTGTCTGTGGTATTAGTTATACTATATGAATAACATATTTTGATGTCTAATGTAATGTTACACATAAATCATGATGCCTCAAGGTCATGGTAGGTTATACCACTGTACTTGATTCATCATGACGTGCTCTAATGTATTGCCAGTAATGTGAAAACACTGCTAATGCAAACATGGAAATAAAAGCAAAACTTTGCTGCAAAAGCAAATTATAACTTCCCTCTATCTTGTGAGGGTGAGACATACTAGGTCTGATTAGGAATGGAGGTAGAGGTGGACCAGAAATTTAAAAAATTCCCAATTGCTATTAAATTTGGAGTTTCAGACCCCTTGGAGAACCTTTGCAGAGAGAAAAATAGCAGCTTGGAAGTCCGTGAAATTTTGCAGGAACTTTTTTGTTCTTGTTCCTGGTACATAATGATTGGTGCCGGGACTTTGAGAAACTTACCAGGAATTTCTAAATTGTGCATATATTCAGTAAAAACTTTTGATTTTTTCAGTAGTATGAAAAAGTGTGAGACTTTGGAGGAAAAAAACCATGCAATCCCCCCCCCCCCCTACACACACACACAGACACGCTAGCTACTTCATAAAAGTGTGTATGGCATATCCTATGGTGAAGGGCATATCTTAATTGATCAGGASAAAGTTAGAGAAAACTTTTAGAAATAGTGTATTTCACAATGAGCAATCCTTCACACAGAWATTACCTGCTGTGCTCACAAAGTTGTGGAGCTTTACGAGCTTCCTGCCAAATCTGCATATATTAAACTGTAGTTCTTCTCTGTGTGCATTTGTGGTGTGGATGGTGTACTGTTTCTGGCATTTTTTGGCATGCAGTTCCTATTGCTATGTGACGGAGGCAACAATTAATGAGAATAAATCTTGTAACAAAAATGTACACAGCTTCTTCCTCCCAGTGTCAAATTAACATACTGACTGAAATCTCTCTGTGTTATGCGTGTGAGCATGAATGATGGCCCAGGGGGGGAAACAAAAAACTACAAGAAAACCTTCTTCCCTGGTATGCATATGACTTTCACAATTTTTATTAAACAGGAAAAGGATTAACCGGCACAACTTTTTGACTCGAGAGGAAGTTTCTGTCTTCTCCCATCTTCTGAGATACACTGTACAATTAATGCTGTTTGACACCCCTTTCATTGCCATGGCTCAATGCAATGGAATCCAGAGAGCTGTAGTTTGGTGTGGCAACAACAATCTTTGGTAGAGAAGATCTTGTACAACTGCAACTCTCTTGATTCCACAATACTGAGCCATAGCAGTAAACATGATGGCAAACTGGATTATTTCTACAGTAGAGATACATTCTTTGTCATTTATTCTTTCCTGGTTGCCAAAAACTGCTCATTTTTCAAGGAAGGCTACAGTCTTTTGAGAAGGTTCACAGTTTGTGTCATAGTATGGAGTTTTCTGTGGGATTTCATGGGAAAGCCAGTGGTTTCCCATCTTTATGGGGAGAAAATCCTGTAGTATCTCAAGAACATGGGAAGAAAAGCATTTTTTTCTTCTCAACTCCTAGTGGGACTGAAAAAAAATACAATATGTCATCACTAGATGGAAGTAGACTGTGAAAGTGGAAGCATATTGATACTGCCTATATGAATGTCACAGTAATATTGAGTGTTTGGGTCTGATATGAAAGCATAAAGTCTATACAGACAGTCCCCTGGTTATGAACAGATACACACACATGCACACATGTGTATATATAAGCTTTGGATAGCAGGGTGAAGAGCTAATGCCCCTGTGGTGTTTGCTTTGCTGTCTGTGCCCTATTCCGAATATTTCCTCTTACTTTCTGTCCCTGTGATAATAACGGAATTTTGTAAAAATAAAAGGCTTCCTGTGGAAACAAGAATTGGCGAGGAACCCTCAGTGGAAACACCTTTCCCCCATAACAACGCTTTCAGGGGTGAATTTCCTTTCAAAGGGGTAAATTTATGTCA